AAAGCTGTACAGGGATAATATGATAAAGAGAACTGATAGCTCTACACTGCAGGCCTTACTGACCCTACTGAGTAAGATTAGGTGACTACATGTGAAGAAGCAACTCATTATAAAATAAAATCTTTATAGAGCCAAATAGCTTTGGCATTCTCAAATGTAGGTTCTGGCCCAAAATCGACTGCTACTCCAGGATGGCTCAGTGGCTACTGTGTCACTTTGTCCAACTTACCAACAACTACAGCTATATGTTCTTCCAGTTAGATACGAAATGTTTACATTGAGTATCTGCCAGGTGTATTTGTTGCTTAACTACTTCAGTGAACCTAAATGTACACTCACAGTATGTTTTGTCTTGCTAAGATTAAACTCATGATACAGTTCTGTTTTATATGATGGAAACTGGGAAGCATTTAAATTTAGTTTTGTAAAAATATCATGGCATACTTCATATGTCATGTCATTGACATATGACAGAGGATTGGCAGATAGATGAATATTTGCCTGCTAAAACTGTTACATGTGTGCTGTGTCTGAATTGGTGAACTATATAATTTGAGTGTGTCAATTCACTGTATTAAGTTTTCCTCAAAATTCCACACTGAAATAAAAATATGTTTGGAAATACAAAGTCAGTGTTGCTGTACAATACATGTGCAGCCTTCTGTAGACATTGCCTGGTCCAGTGCAGCCCCACTTCACCACCACTGTCATTTCAACCTGTAGCTCAGTGTGCTTTCTCTCATCTTAGTTCTGTATATATCTTGGAGAAGGTGACAAATAAGTAGTCACACATGTTCTCACCCTTTTCCCCTGCCCTCCTTCTTATTAGGGGGCCAGTGGAGGAATTGATCAAACCGCAAATCCAGCCTCTCGCATCTTTACCTTTACAGGTACACATTTTCATAACTCAGGCAGTAGCTGGGGAAGGAGAGCAAGGAGGATGGGGGTGGGAAGGTCTCTTTCCACAAGGCTAACAAGCTCCTTACTGAAAAAGATGAGTGTGAGGACGGAAGGGCGGAGGCAAATGCAAACACGCATAGGAAGGTGATGGCAGAAGGAGCTGGTGCGAAGATGAATGGTCAGGGAGAAAGTGAGAAGTGCAGAAGAGAGTGGGCCTCTGAAAAAAGAAGTAAGTGAAAATGGAAGCCAGAAGGTACACGTGAAGAGGCTACAGGGAAGGAGATGGGTAAACGTAAGACTGGAGTATAAGAAAAATACAGTAGCAAGCTTTGCACAAATCGGCCTTATAAATGAAAAGGGCTCATTTGAAGCTGGAGGCATGAAAATTCAAGAGGAGTTTTGGCTGCAAAACATCGCCCTGATGAGGCTAAAAGACAACAGGAAGTTAAGTTTAGACAAAGCAGCGATTACCGTGGCTGGAAGGTGAAGCCAGTGTTGATGTGATATGAAATGCAGTTTCACTAATGGCAACTAATTCCCACTTAAAAAGCATCAGCTTCCCTCTCAAATAGTACAGTAAATGTTTTTCCCATGAGTAAATAAGGATCTCAGTGGTTGAATTCTGGTGTTCTACATAATACATGTGCTGGTGGTCAGTTTGAAAATGAAGATTTTAGGGATTATTAAAGGATTTGATGTCTGACGTTAACTTTGGCACCTGGTGCTGATGAAGTTATCTTTTTACAAGGATATATGGTAGCGCTAGTAAAATTTTATTCATTTGATATTAGTTCAGCTTTTATCAGTTGCATTTTAGCCTTGTTTTGTTCTTCATTTTCAGTATTTTGAAACTACAGCCTTAACCACCTTTGTTGTGTAGCGTTGCCAGTGGTTGTCATCTATTGGAAGGATAGTGGAAAACGTTTATTTGTTGACACTGTCAGTGTCCCTCGGGTCTGCAGAGCAACGAGTGGTTCAGATGCTGGATTGTCATACTTTAATTGTGTTCACTTGGTTTAGCATGAGAGGAGAAGCTACATTGTCAGATAACATTACACAGTAATAAGTCATTTAGATGCTGTCATTTTTAACTTCACATACTCAGGTTGGAAGATATAACAGCACATTGGACTGTAGTAGTAGTAGTATACTGTATACAGACCATGTTTATAATGGTCACTTAGAAAAATGTTATCTAAAGCAGATTTGTTACTCCTTAACAAATGTTATTCAGAGATTAATATTCTCTCGTAGAAATGTATAATGCAAGTGCTTAACAAAGGTAACACCCCAGAACACAAACACCCCAGAATGATTATTAGAATACTCTAAGGGTACTAATAGGATCTCTCTCAGCTCAAACATGAGGTCTAGGTTGTTAGCTGACTGAAACTGACACAGATTCAGTCATGATAAACTTACAAACGGCTACGTCCATCTTTACATACACAGCAGTGGTTACCTTCACCCTGGCTGGAGGGGGACGCACTAAATTAACTGTCATCACTCCTTTATGTCGAGAGGCCTATAGAAAGGCAGAAAGTCTGTCATGTCGCCATGTTACTGCTGGAGAGACCAAAGCTTTGGTCTGTGACATGTCTATTTACATGCATTCTGCATCAGAGGATTCACAGAAGTCGGTGTTAAATTTACAGACAACATTTGACCCTGTGATGCATTAGTGGTAGTGATCCTACTGTGAGATTACAGCTGCGATTGATCCTTCTTACAGTAGGGAACTATAATTGGAATATAGATGTGGTGAACTTCAGCCTCCAGTCAATGAAGAGCAAACGGCTGCTGAGGGAAAAACGCCATGCCAGACTATATGGCTGCAAAATCTTGTGCTTATAAGGTACGTTCTCTCAAATCACAAAGTAAATGATTACACACATCTTATACCACAATCCTGTGTATTAATCTGCTGCTCTAACAGCCTCAATGATATTTTGCAGTCTGGCTGCTGTGATTTCTCCCATTCAGCCCAATTCTGCACTGAACAATTTGTGCCTAATGTCAATGTGCCACTGCAGAAGGTAGTGTGGCCTATATGTTGCTGGGCAAAACGTAAGGGTTAATTAGTTGTTGTAGGTAGGTTACTCTAGGACATCTGAAGAGTCCTTTGTGTGTAGTTCCTGAGTGTAGTTGTATACTGTGACTTACATATAATTGTGTTTGAACCCCACAGCTTGGCTCTTTTCCTGTTGTTCTTCTACTGTTGTTAGGTTTTCTTTTCAGTCTTGTTAAGTTCACAGTGCCAGCGTAAAGGAACTCACGGGCACTTCTCACCAGCCACTTCTAGAACAATACCACTTATTTTACTGAACATCTCATCCCTCGGATCATCTTATGAGTGACCCCATGAACAGCCAGTCTGTACCGAACCTGCTCTTATGAGTGCTATAGTTAGAAATGTGCCACAGGATGTGCATGTGGTGAAGATTCAATATTTCAATTTCCCGTGGTTGCCATTGTGGTAAATTAGCTGTTTCCCTCTTGTCTGAACTGATATTGGATTTCTCTGACCCCTTTTTCTGCTGCCATTAAGAGAAGATAAACTAAGATAAGATAGATAATCCTTTATTGTCATTGTAACACGTACAATGACATTTTAGAGTGACCTTTGGGGAAAAGGCCACTTAAAAGTGTCTAAAATATTTATTTTAGACACTTTTTCATATGGGTGTTCAATCCGTATTATCTTATTAAATATTTAATATTGAACTCATACCGAATGGGGAAAACCCCCATCATTCTCCTCCTATTCACCCTCTCTTGTCTTACTCTTCCCCCCCAGTATTAAGATGGTTCTGATGTGGACCAGTGGCGACACCTTTAAAACGGGCTACTTCCTGCTCACTCAGGCTCCTGTGCAGTTCTGGACATGCGGCCTCCTGCAGGTCATCGTGGACTTTGCCATCCTCTTCCAAGTTTATTACTACAGCCGCTTCCCACAGAAACCTGTGTCCCACAACGTCAACCACACCACTAGTGCCAAAGCCCTCTGAGAGCAGCTGAAGGTTCGCTGAGAAGACTCCGTACACTACATACATGTGCCCCAAAGCACACCCTCCTGTATAAAGACACGTACACACCCATAAATACGAGACAAACATTATGAAGGAGGCACACAAACTCATCCTTTTTATTACCCTACTGACCTTTTGTCAATGCAGCTGTAGATCTGTCTTGAAATGCAAACAACTCAAAGAATATAACAGCTTGTGCATGTGGAGTATATTATGGATATACAGTATATATATGTATGTATGCTGAAATCTGTGCTCAAGAAAACATGGGCCAGCTCTTGTTTGCTGATGACTGTTGCATGGACCTTCTGTCTTAAACACACACACTCAAACATGGCTTGCTTCATCACCAGTAATAGTAATATATGACTCAAGCAAAAAATCTTAATAGACAATATTACTGAATGTACAAAATAATCTTTGTTATTTAGTTGTTTTTTCCAACAGAGTGGAGAAATGCTGGTCAGTCTACCACTTGCTGGACAAATGGTTGCCACATGCTGAAACAACATTAAGACACCAGAGGCAATCAAGCTTTACCAAAAGAAGACAAACTCTAGCGAGCTTTGTAAAAGACATGAGGGCACTTTTCTGTCTGAAGCCAGTATTGCTGGAAGCAAAGGTGTTGACTTGTAAGAGACATCATCTTTATTATGGCACGTATTTGACCTGCCAAAAGGCCATTGCCAAGATTTTTGTACTGGAGCTGCTGATGCCGTTTTGTCTATAGTTTTGATGAATTTTACACCACAAATTCTAAAAATCCCACAGGATTCAGTTTAAATCCCAGATCGCCATGTTCTTAAGGTGAATTCAGACTGAATACAAAAGAGAATTTCAGACCAGACGCAGGTACAGAGACAGTCACTGAAGCAAGTGAGCACAGATTTCCTCTGGGCAGGGCAAAGTGAAGCGAGGACGAGTTACCAGGAGTTGAAAATATGGAGATTTGTGCAAAACTTTGGCTTTTGCTGTGTTTATGAGCCCACTCCCTGAAGGTACAGGGACAAGAGAGGAAGAGAGAGAGAGA